CTCTGTGGGCAGCCACTGTAGGCCAATCTTGTAAATTTCGGTGTCCTGCATTAAATCTGATTCCGAGCATGTGCGGTGTTTTGAGGAGCCTCACCCCAGCCCTGCAAGCCCTTGTAAGCATTAATACACAGCATCACTCTTTCCCTTCCCGGTGGCATCTGAGCTCCCTAATTCCTTAGAGAGTGTGTCATCTATATATTTATTTCACTCAGGGTACAGTCCATACAGTATCTCAGAGGGCCTCACAATTTTTCTTTTTTCTCCTTCCCTCTTTAAGCCTAAATTCCTTCTTCTTTAAAACACACCAAAATGTCTCTCTGTGTGTGATGAGACGACTCCAAATATTGAAGACCTGCTATGTGTAAAGCATTTCACTCCTGAGCAGTTATCCTGATGAGGACATGGATAACTTGTCCAAAGTGGATTGTGCTTTCTTAAAGAAAAAACACAGCTACGGAAGTGCTCTCCCCAGCCTTGAAGGGAAGGGTGCGAGAGCAATGAACTCAGCCTGGAAGTCCTGACTTGCTCTACTTACAACTCAATAGGGCTTTGAAGAAACTACACAGATGCTGGGGAGATAGCTCAATGGCAAAGTACCTGCCTGGCATGTGCAAGGTCACGAGTTTGATTTCTGGTACCAAAAAAAAAACACAAGCTCTCTGGAACTCAGATAACCTTCATCTGTCACTATGCAGAGTGGACAAGGGTATTTTCTAGTTCCAAAATTGTGTAAATAAAATATACTCTAACAGAGGCCTTTTCAGTTACTTCAAAAAGACATCCGAACATTTTACCACAACATGCTAGGTCCTAGGTGTGCTGGCTCGTGTGCCTGGCACATGCCACGCAAGCCTGCAGGCATTCTGCTCTTAATTCCTCACATACACTGGCTCCACTCCCAACTCACCTGCCCTCATACACACACTCACACTCATATGTTTCCACCCCCATGGGCACCCATACTCATCCACTAACACACTCACTGGATGATACAGAGGAGACTCCTTTATATCCTGCAGATCTCTGCTTAAATGTCAGCCGCTCAGAAAAGTCTGTCCTAAGTACTCTCCAAAAGAAGTCTGGCCCTAGTATTCCCCATTCTAGCACCCAACTTTCTCCTCTGTGGTACTTATGAAGATTTTAAATTATTTCATATACTTATGAAATTTCTTCATTACTAGCTTCTATGATCCAAAATGGCAAGATAAAATTTATGTTATTCATCTTTGCTTCTTTTTCTTGGCATCTAGCATTACATCTGATATTAAGGATAGTCAATAAATATATGTATAACTAATTAAAATAATTTCAACCATTTTCCCAAATAGCCCATTCACTACTTTACTAGAAAGAATATAGCAAATTCAAGCACAAATGGATGTAACAGCATGGATTATTACTTTTTGGAAAATATTGGTATTGTGAGTTATATTTTTCCAAATGCTGTCACATTTCATTAAATAGTTTCTAAAACCTGTATTTATTAATACCATGACCATCTCATCAGGAAAGTCTTTAAGTGTTAGAAATCTGTCTACTCTTTATCATAGACATAAGCTTTCAAAAGAAAAAAAAAAAAAAAAACACTCTCATTTGAAAGCTCTAATTTTATCATTTGCAATAACAAAATGTCACTTGCTCTCTTTAAAGTGCCAGGTTCACTTAATTCATATTTGAGAAATGTCTGAATAGTCATACTTCATCAGAATTACTTCAAGTAAAAATAGTATTCCACATAAAGAGAGACCAGCTCAGAACTCAAACTGCTCTAGTGCTTTTTCCTGAAGAATAATATAGGGCTTATTCTGAACTCCAGTATTTCAGAATCCAACCAAAGGGTTCTGTGCACACTTTGCATACTTCTACTCACATACAATGTGAAAGACATTTAGTAGAGGGTAAAGATTGTTGAAGCCCCCCAAATTAACAGTGCTATGCCAAGGACATTCTTGAATGAAACTGGCTTTTTTACAGTGCCTGAATATGAATACAGTGATGAGCAATATGATTTGGTGCTACTGCACTGACTTGTACTAACATACCAGAATTTTAATCATCATTGCTTTTGTACTATCAGCATAAATGTCAACACATGGGTAAAAGGGAAACATCTTAGTATTATAATGAAAATAGTTTTAACCTCATAGGTCCCCGAAAGAGTCTCAGGACCACCTACAAGTCCACAAATCACACTTTGAGTACTGCTGGCTTGCAATTGTAATAGCTTGTTCATGTTGGAACAAACTTAAGATTTTCCCAAGAGTATAAACAAACAGTTGTATACACAATTTTTAATTTAACTTTTAACGGTCAGAGCAATGTGGGAAAAGGGCATTAGGACAAAACAAAGTTAGTACACTCAAAATTTTTAATTTCAAACTTTTTAGAGTTATAGAAATGAAGACAGTGCAGTACTGCCATAAAGACAGACATACACATAAATGTTGTAGAAATGAGAGTCCACAAAATAAACCTTAACCTTTATGGTCAACTGATTTTCCACAAAACAGTCAAGGCAATTTCATGAGGGGAGAATTATTTTGACAAATAATGCTGGGACAAATGAGTATTCACATGTAAAAGGATGAAGTTGAACTGCTACCTTAACCATACACAAAACTTAACTCAGCATACAAAAACATACTCAAAGCATAAGCCTAAATATAAAAACAAAATAGAATAATAACATTCTGAAGAAAATACAGGAGAAAATTTTTGTGATCTTCAATTTGTCAATGATTTCTTAGCTATGACACCAAAGATACAAGAGATAAAAGATCAACATGTGAGGCTTCACCAAAATGTAAAAATTGTGCACTTCAAAAGACATCACCAAGAAAGAGAGAAGAAAACCCACAGAGTTGGAGAATATTTGTAAATTATATATGTAACAGGGAACTTGTATCCAGTATATTTAAAAAGTTATAACTCAATACTGAAGAGACAAATAACTGAATTTAAAAGTAGAAGGATATTTCATCAAAGATACATGAATGGGAAATAAGCACATAAGAAGCTCAACATCATTAGTCATTAGAGAAACACAAATCAAAACCACAATGAGATGCTATTTCACACCCACTAAAATAACAATTATCAAAAAGATACATTATCAATATTGGCAATAATTTAGAAAAATTCAGTCTTATACATTGTTAGTGGGAATGTAATATGATATAACCATTTTGTAAATGGTTTAGAAGCTCCTGAAAATGTTAAACATATAGTAACTGTGTAATTACCAAGTTACTCAGTAATTTCACTTTCAGGTATAAAACTAGAGAAGTGAAATAAAATTTCACATAAAAACTTGTACAAGAATTGTCACAGAGGCATATTTAAATAGCTAATGACAAGAAATAAACCAAATGCCCATCAACTCACGAATGTATAAATTAAATGTACTATAGCCATATAGCGAAACATTATTTGGCAATAAAAAGAAATGAAGTAATGATACATGTTACAATGTGTACAAACCTCAAAAACATTCTAAGTGAAAAAATCAGTCACAAAAGATTACATATTATACGATTCCATTTATCTGAAATGTCCCAAGTAGGCAAATCTTGGGAGATAGAAAATTTAGAGGTTGTCTAATTGGAGTGACAGTTACTGGTTACAAGTGTGTTTGAGGTGATGAAGATGTTCTAGAATTAAAAGGCAATGACTGTGGAACTCTGTACATATATTAAAAACTATCAGGCTGTGCACTTTTAATGGGTGAACTTTATGGCGTACAAATTATGTCTTATAAATGTGTTAAAAGTCCATATAAATGTAGGAATAGCAGCCACAGTCACATTGAAACAATACTGTCAATGTTTCCTTTCAAGTTTTTGCAGTGGGTACTTTCAATTAAAATTTGACTTTTTAAAAACTCTGCACGAAATTACTCATCAAAACCAGAAGCAGTACCCCACTGCTATTACCAAAAATGATGAAACTCTGATGCACTCATGAGATCTGCATAAAAGAAACACAGGGGTCTCAGCAGGGTTTCCTTCTGAGGTTATATGACTTCTAAAAGTAACCACTAGCTCTGAAAGCATGAGGGTGTTGATTTCTAAAGAAGGAATCACTAGGTCTGAAGTTATCACGGTATCAACCATAAAGATAGTTGGTTGAAAACCAGACATCCTGACAAAATGTGTGAATCATACATATCATAATAAAGACCACATTCTGACCTCAAAAAAAGAGCTGAAGACATTTCTAATGGAAAGCTTGCCCCATTCTATTCCTCCAGGAACTGAGGTTGATTCTTCTTTTTTAGTGAGATATCCCCCAGTATCAGAACAAATTAGTCATGTCTAATTCCCACTTTCCCTCTCAGCTACAGAAGGATATTTGCAGTATCTAGAGTTGTGACAATCAGGCAAAGCACAAGAATAGGACTAAAAAGGGCCAACAGCCCCTATTCGAACAACTCACGTGCCCACACCAGCCCCAGATTCCAGGCTGATTCGTGATAAACTATTCTCCACAAAGCTAAGAGGAAAAATAGAAACATCAGGAAAAGCTAAGAGGAAAAACAGAAACATCATTTTGTGTACCTGTTTCCCTCCTGATCTCCACTTGCATTTGACTTATTAATTCTTAAATAACCCAAGGAGATAGCCAGAAAGTAACTTGACTGGTGACCAATTTTAGGACTTTTCTAAAGCTTTGATTTCTAAATCTTCAAAGAGCTCCCATTCCTGAATACTGAAGATAACATTGCTGCTGGTGAAAAAGTCTTAGCTGAGACATTTACAGTCTCTTCTTGTGTGCTATATTCCACGGGTAACAAAGTCCCCTTGGTCCCACCAACCCTGCAGACTTACGATGCTTTCCCTTAGCATCCCTAGGAAAGTAAAGGATGCCCACTGGCACTGAGTGATTATTCACTGCTCTAGCTTGTGTTTCATTTCCTAGTGCAAAACTCTGAAATGTGAAAGAGAGGAAACCACATCCTTTGTACTCTCCTATATAGGGTGGGCCAGTTGAGAACAAAACATTGACTTTCCTTCTGATTGATGTGGGAACACCAGCCACAATGAGGAACTCCTATGCACTGCTGGCATCTTCTCTCTCGATTGTCATTTTTCTTCTACTAATTCCTGAAGGTAAGACTGATTCTTGCTATTTTCATGATCACCAAGCAAAGTGAAGCCTACTTTCAATGACTTTTTATAGCAGTTCTTTATGCCAAAAGAGTTATCTTCGCCAAGTTTAAAATGTTTAGCTTTTTTTAAAATTATGTTTCTGAATTCATTTTAAAAGAAAAATCCTTTCTTCTTTGTATTCTTTTTCCAAAAGATAACAGAACCACTAATGCTTATTGCAGCCAATTTGTAAGTTAAAAATTACTAAGAACAATATAAAGATGAGCAAACAGCCAGGCATGGTGGAGCAAGTTTATAATCTCAGCACTCAGGAGCCTGAGGCAGGAGGATTGCAGATTTTAAGTACGGCCTGGGCTACATAGTGAGTTCAAGGAACAGCCTCATCTACATAGCAAGACCCTGTCTCAAAAAAAAAATTTTAAATGAGCAAGCAAACATACAAAACATATAAACATTCTTTACCTTTCAGGAAAAGAATAGTGGTGCCTTAGCCAGCTTGTTACCAGTCACAGAGGTTCACACACTCAGGTTCATTTGCTTGCCTCTGACCAAATCCAGGGAGAGATTTTTTTTATGAAAAGGATTTATTCAAAGCTACCTCCACAGAGATGGGAGGAACCCATTTGCCTCAAATCACCCCCTTATCATATGTAGCTGTCAGGGTCTTTCATAACAAGGGAGGGGCAGGAGGTACAGTGAGACAATACACCTGTTCAGGCTTATTCCTTCCCTTCCTAGACCCAGACCTTTCCCTTCCCTGCCTAAGGACATGAAACAGAACTTTAAACTCCTGGTGCCAGCATCTGCAAAGCCCATTCCTCTGGGCTGAGGATAGGTGCGGATGATGGTTTGTGCCCTAGGTTTGAAGAAATATGGAGAAGCCATCGTCCTAAAGGAAAAAAATATTAACTTTTAAAGCTCCCTTTTGCAGTGCAAGTTATAAGTTCGACCTTCCTTTCTGCAGAAATGCACAGAAAGTTTTATAGTTAAAAAAAAAAAAAGACAAAGTTGAACTGGACACCAGAAGTGAATACAAAATGATTAGAATTTCAGTAACTACAGTATTTCTCTAGCCTCTCTCTGGGATATATCAGGACATTGGGAAAGTCCTCAGAGGGATTCTTTGGGAAAGCTATAGTATTTTCTGTAAAGTTACTAAAAGGTAACCAATATCCCTGCTTTTGTGTGAGTTCTACCTGTGGGAGTTGAAATCCTATAACATCTGTAACATTGTCACTGGAAGGGAGACACAGTAGCTTCTGAGTAGTTCTATATTTTCTCTGAAGAACCTAGTAGGAAGTAAGGGTTACCATTGGGCTGGGGTAAAATCACCTGATAATTATGGAGGCAGCCAGGGATTTTCCCCAGGACCCATCAGCATTTGGAGGTAAAAATGGTAGGCAGAGCTTATGGAATAAGACAAATGCCAGGAATTTCCCAAGAAGTTCTCTGGTTTACCTTGCTCCTAAAGCTAAAAAGAAAGTGTAAATTTTTTTAAATGAAAAACAAAATTTATATGTATATATAAGGACAGCTGGAATAGGTGTATTGCTGATGTCTGTGGTTTATTGAAAGGAAGTCAATGCTTAAAATTTTCTTGTTTTCTTGACCAATTTTGCACGTTTGAATTTGGTAATCAGAATGACTGATCTGAAAACAACAATATGCAGCATAAGAACCATAGTTGAACTCCTACCATCTTGTATGATGAAGCTCTGCATCATTTCCAATGTTTTTTTTTATTACTTGTTACCGTCTTTGATTGTTTGATCAATCATATATTCTTAGGTCTGGTAGACTGAGCAACTTTGCTGAAGATAACAGTATCAAATGTAGCAACCATGTAAATTCCTATCATTTTGTTTTGAGGTCATGTATCATTTTTGTTGTTTTTGTGTTGTTTTGATTTTGCCTTCATTGTTGTTTTGTTAGTTTTTTTACTTTTAAAAATAAAAGGTGAAAAAAAACAAGATTGCAGGACATTTGAGACTAAAGGATGGGCATATTACAAGCGTGCCGTACGACTGACCATACTGAGGCATGTTAAATCCTCCTGAAGAGGAGATGGATTATTTTTAAAAATCTACGCATATTTTACCCTCAAAAGCAACAACAAAAGCTCTTTGCTCTGCTCCACTTTGTTTCCTGTTTGCAGAGAGCAAGGTGAGCCCACAAGGAGAACAAATAGCAAAGCAAGACCTGAGGCTCTGAGCTAATGGTCTCAACCCTCTACAGAGTAGAATAATCTGGAGGACATTTTTTAAAATAGTGACATCACAGATCCAGCCTCAGAAATTCTGATTAAATTTAAATGTGAGAACCAGAAAATACCAATTTTTAAAACCTCCTCACCTACCTCAACCCTACCCCAGACTCTTCTAAGAGTGGTTGATGGCAGATACGGACTTATTCCTGAAGCTGATATATGTGCTCAACTAAACAAACATGGAACCCTACAAGTGTTCTATTGAGTTTATGATTTCTGCATCCCAGAAAGTCCAAAAATGTACCTTTAGAATTATCTGTATATGACTCAACCTGGGCAAAATTGGAATGTGGCTGAGGTTTTTTTGGCTTCTGTAAGTTCCTTACCCTTTTATTTCTAGAGCCTAGAATTTTGCCTTCCCAATTCCCCTGAAGAAGCCACAGGCCTGTGGCCATTCTCTTCCTCTTACCCTCACCCTCATCAATCCTTAGGAAAGGTTCTCTCCATCATTGATAACTTATTGTGAATTTGGCAATGAATTCACTCTAATTATGGGATAAAAAGGATTATAGTCTACTCAAAAAACTATGAATCTCAGCCACCTATAAGGAGAAATATTTTGGGAGAACCAAGAGCATATGGTGCAAAAGGTGGCAAGCTGAGAGTGCATCACCAAGACACAAGGTCCCTCAGCCACAAATATGGTTTGTGCTGGGTTTAGGTCTCACTGCTCTCTGATCCCAGCTTATCATGAAGGAACTTTTACTAAGACAGAACCCTCTACTTAGTTCACCATTCCCTTAGCTTACTGCAAAGGCCTCAGCTTAAACCATGTGGTTTGGTCTGGAAAGTGAAGGTAAGCCTTAGGTGTGATAGGTGTTATTCTCTCAAAGTTTGAGTAAGGACAGTGCAATTCAATAATGGAATGCCTCAATCATCAAAAGACTCAAAGCGGGTCATAGCCAGAAGGTGTCAATGTCAGTTTGTATGTTGTGCTTTTATAAGGACTTGGGGTAAAAAGATAAATATCCAGACTTCTAAAATCCCCTCTACTTCCCCAAATTAATTCTAAACCAGAAGGGGTTAGGGGCACTCATGGTCATCAACATCTCCTGCAGCAACTGCTACTGGTCTAGAGCAACCTGTGGCTCTCCACCCTTTCCAAAGCCTGAAGAGCTTTTCCAGGTGGACTGATATGATTTTCCTTTTCATGCTGAACAGATGCCTGTGTAAGAATTATTGGGGGACATGAAGTGACTCCTCATTCAAGACCCTACATGGTCCTACTAAAATTTGACCAAACAAAAATCTGTGCTGGTGCTTTGATTGCACAAAATTGGGTATTGACTGCAGCCCACTGTGACCTGTAAGTGTTTAAGCCTTTTTTAAAAAGTGTGTGGAGATATTTCATGTTTCATATTACTTAAGTCTTTGGGAAGTCTTTGGGAAGTTGCTTTAGCCCAAAATGAAGTTAAACATATAAATAATCAGGGCAATTAGGAAACAGCAGTTCCAGGCTCTTTCTGAAGACCCTTCAGGTACAGGTGTTAGAAATAGATTAGATGCAGCATAAAGGGTCAACTTTCAGAGCTCCCTTGAAGGCCCAAGCACAGCCGTCAAGCAGAGAAAGCTTGTTTCCAGTGACTTCCTGTGTCCTATATGGAACCACTCATCCCTTAACCATCTCTTAGCCTCTGTCAACTATAGTACTTCCTTGAAACCTCTCCCCAGGCCTCTAAAAACCTGAGCTGTCCAATATGACAGCCACATGTGGTTACGGAAATTTAATTAAAGCTAAATGAAACTATAAATTTACTTGCTCAGTCACACACTGGCTGTATTTCAAGTCCTTAGTAGCCACATGTGCTGAGGAGTTACCATATTGGAACATGCAGATTTACAGAACATTTTATCATCAAAGTATGCTCTACTGGAAAAAAAAGAAAAAAGGGTTATGTACAATGTACCAACTTCCCACAATGAATGTCATCATTATGTACTGCCAATATGTACCAATAAAAAATGCTTTAAATTAAAAAAATAAAATATGCTCTACTGGAAAGTACAGTTCTAATGTTATAAGTGAGACTACCATCAGCTATATAGAGGGGAAAAGACAGTAAAAACATTAGTTGCAAAGCTTCAGGTACATAACAAACCTGCTCCTCTACACATGCCCAGTCCCCTCACTCCTCCTCCATGAGGCCCTCCCCAGAAGCCAAGCTGATGCCAGCACCATGTTCTTGGACTCCAAAATCATGAGCCAAAGAAAATTTCTTTCCTTGGTAAAATACCCAGTCTTTGGTGTTTTGTTAAAGCAACATACAATGAACTAAGGGGATGACAATAATAGATTCCAAGTTATCTTGCTATTTCCCCTTTAAAACACACCTGTTCTCTCAAGCCACAAAGTATCCCACAAAAAGCATATTTACCAATGATGAAACTAAAATGATCAATTCATAATATGCTCAGCTCCTAATTTAAGAATAAACCCAGTAAACAGTGTTGTGTCTATTCCAGGAAAAAAAAGGCCCAGGTCATTCTTGGGGCTCACTCAATAACCGCAAATGAACCAGAAAAACAGATAATATCAGTTAAGAAGGAGTTTCCTCATCCATGCTTTGACCTGGACACAGGTGAAAATGATCTTAAACTTCTTCAGGTATGTACCCTTGAGGTCCTAGAGTCACAGAAACTCCTAAAACCTGGGAACGTGGAATACCCTGTACCCCTACTGAGACAAACTCATGTGAGGGAGGTCCCTGTGAGTTGAACTAGAATTTAAGTAAAAATGTTAATATTTATCTCCTTCTGTTTATTCTTTGTGTTTGTCTTCCAACAGCTAAACAAAATGGCAAAAATTAACAAAAATGTAGCTATCCTTCAACTACCTAACAATGGGGATGACGTGAAACCAGGAACTATATGTCATGTTGCAGGGTGGGGGATGACCAGCAATAATTCACCTCTGTCTGATGTTCTAAGAGAAGTCAATGTCACCACCATAGATAGAAAAATCTGCAATAATGCAGAACACTACAATTTTAATCCTGTGATTGGACTCAATATGATTTGTGCCGGAAGCCCTCGTGGTGGGAAAGACTCATGCCATGTAAGTAAAACAAGATCCCCCATGTCAGCTGTTAGAGTAAGACACCTAGACACAATGTAATGGCATGTGTGGTTTTTTCATGGCATTGGCTTCTACAGTGTCCTAGTGATTTGTTTAAGAAGTTTGGTAAAACTCCAGGCAAAATAAATTAATATACTCAGTTTAAGTGAATCAATAAAAATAAAAGTTCACTACTAGTACGTGGGTTGATCCACTACATCTTGATTTCACATCAAACACCATAGGAAACAATGTTTTTCCTTATTTGTCATATTACCACATGTAGATCTAACCTTAAAGATACTATGTACACAAAACCCAGGAGACCTGTAGCCAGGACTCCTCAAGGGAGTTTGGTTTCCCTTCCGTCTGAGTACCACCCCAGAAGTTCCTCTGCCATTCAACCTGGGCATATTTAAAACACCTGTCATTCCCAAGTCTGTCTGAAGACCTTAAGCTAGCCCCCATGGTTTCCCAGACCAGAGCTCAGTCCCAAGAAGACACCTTCCAAGCATGACCCATACCAAAGAATGTGTAAGCCTCCACCTTAGGATCCCCTGAGAAGGGTGAAGTACAGAGCCCTGCTGAAAAAAACACTTCCCAGATTTTTAAATTCTGAGTACTTATAATTTCTCACCTTCTCCAAAGACACTGGAGTCACCTCAAGCAGGTGCAGTGTGCCTGGTGAGGGAGTTAACAGAGATTAACACATCTCTGTCCTTCGAAGGAATTCTTTCTCACCTTCTGGACCAAGGCTAGCCAAATCCCAGGCAAAGATAGCATTGTCTTTAGCACTCTCACTTTCTCTTTTTTACTTTCTCTTACCTACTCCTTCCAATTTAGATACCTAGGAACACAGAACTTCCTTTTGGGGAACCCATATGAAACATCCTGAGGCCATAGCCACATCCCAAGACATGAGTCCCCGTGCCACCAGTCACCCTCTACCACTGAAGCTTAACAACCCTTCCCCATTCTCTCAATGCCCCCAAGTGGCTATTGATAAATTAAGCCTAATGGACTAGCTCTACAGATGTTAAACACTATAATAGTCAGGAGAAATGTATCTATTTAAGGAGGACCCCAAGTTATCACATGGTTCTTTATTTCATACATTCCTAAGATCAACTTTTCCCTAAAAGAGGTTACTTTGGTTTTGTTTCTTTAGGATGACAATTAGTTGCTAGAAGAACCAATCTGAATTTGACTGTTTTACCCTTTGAGTTATTAAGCTTTTTGAGAAAATGACAAACAGGAGGATTGCCTTTCTGGAAGCAGTGAACCAATCTAAAACTTAGCACATAACATAAACAGTATAAGTTTCATTTCAGTTTTTACTGGTATATTAAAACCCAGTGAATCGATTTTAGAATACTAAAATATTTCTAAACATTTTGATTTTTCAAGCACTAATTTTCAGCCAAGTCACAGTTGGTCTTAATTTCATATTAAACACTGTACAATTTCTTTCATTCTGCTATTGGTCATGGTTGACAAGGATATCTCACGTGCATCCTTCTTCATTTCCCCAGGGAGATTCTGGAAGCCCTTTGCGGTGTGGAGGTGTTTTCCGAGGCATCACTTCCTTTGGCCATCCAGGGAAATGTGGAGTCCCTCAAGCACCTGGTGTCTATACGCGTCTCTCAAAAAAATACATTCACTGGATAGATAAGGTTATGAAGGAGACAGTTTAGATAACTGTATTTTATTTCATTTGTTGTCAAGTCAATCTTATCACAAATAAAATCAATCTGTATTGCTGTATCTGTTTCTGTCTGCTAATAATCATGAGCAGAGGTCAATCTACAAAGTGAAAGAATCAGATGGCAACTTTGTGGATAATATAGGGGAGAGGTTAGGGAAACAATGTCACCAGTGTCATCTATGTGTCAAGTGTCATGGGAATTTTCTCCTGAATTACTCACTTAGTGTCCTAGTAGGACCCAGCAGGAATGACACTAAGATCAGTTCTTTTTAATAACAAACACAGTGGAAGGCTCCATAATCCTTCAGGAAACAGACAGTCTGGAGCATTCTGGCAAAAAGGAAGTAAGTCTGCCCTTGAAGGCCATTGTTATACATCAATAACTGCTATTTTTATTTATTTCCAATAAGTTGAGTCTATGAGAGAAACAGAAATACATAATGACTTTCAGTATTTTCCAAAGGCATGTGATGAGGAATAGAAATTTAAATTCTAGGGGATATTAATGAAGGGTTTGGCCAACTAAGAAAAGAAACAACAGAAAGTCAGCCTTGTGTCTTAGGAGTCTGCATTTAAGTCTTGGATTATCTACTTTATTTCTTGATTTCCTTTTCCCTTGAGCCTCAGTGGATCGAATCAATGCAGTGGTTGCAGTGGCTGCCACTGCAGAGTGGGGAAGGAGTGCTGAATTGTGGAAAGTTCTCTTTGGAAAAAGTCCCATGATGTGTATTCAGTATTTTGAATTTAGTAGTCATCATCTCAGCAGCCACTGTAAGATGTGATCTGTGATCAAGTGAACATATTCCTTCAATTTCCATCAGATCCTTTATATTTGTGATGGGGGGAGTGCTCACACAGACACACCCAGAGATAGCTCTTAAACGGAAGAACATAGCTTAGACTAAGTAAAATACTAGGCTCTTGTTTCCACTCATAGCTGCCATCAGACTCAGCAGGCTGTAAACTACCAGTACCCAGATCCACCTCCGGGGAATCTAATTTAACTGATATTTGGCTGTACCCAGGATATACTATTCTTTATATGAGCTTCCCCAGTGATGCTAATATGCATTCAGGGATGAGAAGCCCTACAGTAATCAGTGAAGCCTGGTGCTAAATTCTAGAAGAAAGGACACAAGAGAGTCACTATGATGATACTTGAGACACTTGCTACAATCTTTTATTCCTAGTTAGGACTTTAACTGCAATAAGCAGATGGAACCCAGGTGCAGTGGCACTTACCTGAAATTCTAGCACTCAGGACACCGAGGCAGGAGGATCTCTGCAGTCTGGGCTACATAGTGAGTTGTAGGCTGGCCTAAATTCTGTCTCAAAAAACAAAAACCAGCCGGACGTGGTGGCACATGCCTGTAATCCCAGCACTAGGGAGGCTGAGGCAGAAGGATCATTGTGAGTTCAAGTCCAGCCTGGGCTACAAAGTGACCTCAAGGACACTCTGAACTGCATAGCGAGACCCTGTCTCAGAAAGCGCTCCCCCCCCCCGCTAAAAAAAAAAAAAAAAAAACAGCTGGGCATGGTGGTGCATGCCTGTAATCCCAGCACTAAGGAAGGTGAGGCAGGAGGATCACCACAAGTTCAAAACCACGCTGAACTACACAGTGAGACCCTGTTTCAAAAGAAAAAGAAAGAAAATGTATTATCCTCTGCTAACAATTTTTATTATAGGTTTTAAACTCATTTTTAAAGTAGTTACATGGAACTCTCATTTGTTGCTGGTAGAAGTACAAAGTGGTACTTTTTTAGGAAAATTAATGTGTCTATTAAAATTCAAATGTACACATCCTGTGATCTAGCAATTCTACTCCTGGGTATGCACCAAACTGAAATAAGTGGGGTTGTCCACCAAAGATGTGTTCAGAATAAAGCACAGGAGCTTCATTCTAAAAAGTCAAAAAAAAAAAAAAAAACTCAAATATCCATTCACAATGAAAGGATTAAAAAGTTATACACTTTTAATGATATAATATTACACAGCAGTGAAAGAGAACAAACTATAGTTACACACAACACAGACTACATGTTCTGTAACATATACATACATACATGTATTGTCTTTCTCATTCACTTGAAGTTTTGGTGATAGATGCATAGGGCATGATTTCATTCATCTGAAGGTAAGCATAAGGAAAAATCAATCCACTGTAGAAGTCACTGTAATGGACTGAGTGTGCACTGGAAGTGAGCACCAGAAATCCCTTTAGGGTACCAGAAGTGTTCATATCTTGATCTGGATGGAGGTTACACAGTTATCTACTCATGAACTGAAAACCTATGAAGTTCTACACTTTGAACTTAAGTGTTTTACTATATATGCTGTATGTGGATTGCTACTCAACAAAAAATTTTAAATTACAAAATTAAAAATTAGTTGTAACCAAGGCTTCTATTTTGTATATTATCTACAAGTTGATTTTGTTCTTTAAAAAATTAATACCCCAAGCTTCCTACTAAAACTAATAGCGGGTAAAAGATATATCTATATTTTTCTTAGATGAGAGCCTCTTGGTTGTGACATAGTGTCGTAAGACTGTTAAAACAGACATACATACTCAGAAACAGAATGGTGTGGAATACTGGTTATGTTCTAATCATTTTGCTTATTCCCAGCTAAACATTTCCTTACACAGTATACCAGCTAATTAGGAAGGTCAGGGGCTGGGGATTTAGCTCAGCGGCACAGCGCCTGCCTGGCAAGCACAAGGTTGTGAGTTCAATTCCTGGCACCAGAAGAAAAACAAAAACAAAAATAAACAAACAAACAAAAAAGAAGGTCATATTAGGTGTCAGGTCGCACATCTCCACCACGGCAGGGGCAACACTGAGCCCTGGACAGCTTCGGGGAAACTCCATGAGCCACGCCCAATCACCCGCACCCTCGCGGGAGCAACGCTAAACCCTGAACAGCTTCAGAGGCCTTGGTGAGCCATGCCCCATTCCCCCACCATGGCAGGAGCTACCGCTGAGCCAGGGCCGACTTTGAGAAGCTCCATGAGCCGTGCCACAGCCCCTTCCCACCATCTCAGGAGCAACGCGGAGCCTCTGACAGCTTGGAGAAACTCAGTAAGCCACGCCCACCTAACCCCAGTCACAGGAGCGACGCTGAACTCCAATGAACTCCAGGAGTCTTGGCGAGCTGGTCCCTGCCCCTCCGCCATTGCGGGAGTGACACTGAGCCCTGGAGAACTTTGGTAGCCTTGGTGAGCCACGCGCCATCCCCCACCATCATGAGAGGGACACTGAGACCTGGACAGCTTCAGAAGATGCGGTGAGCCACCCTCCAACACCACACCTTAAAGGTAGTGACGCTGTACTCCAGGGAACTTCAGCAACCTTGGTGAGCTGACCCCCACAGCCTCACCATTGTGGGAGGGATGCTGAGCCCCACAGAAATTTGGGAGCCTCCGTGAGCCACACTCCAACTCCCTAACTATTGTAGGAGGGATGCTGAGCCTCAGTGAATTTCAGGAGCTTCAAAAATGTCAAAACAAAGGAGCAAAATGCAATCTCAGACCTCCAGTCCATCCAGAACAAGTCAGGAACAATGACATAGAAGAACTTGGAAGTCACAAACCTGAAATTTCTGAAATGATAGCATCTGAAGTAAAGAAACTACTCCATTGGGCCATATAAAAAAATCAGATAAGAAACAATCTTTCAGGTTGAAAAAAATGACAACAATAATGTGATAATTGCTCAGCACATCTAAAGAAGACAGATAAAAAAAACAGAGAAGCTTACAAAAATGGTGGAAGCATTAAATGCATAATATAGGAAAGAATTAGTATGTATGAAACAGATCCAAACAGACAGCCAAGAAATTAAAAATTCTATTGAAAGCTGGCAAAACCTCTTGAATGAAACTGAAAACTTCCAGAGGGGGAAAAGTAGGGAACCAACAGCAGGAAAATAACATGATAAAGATAAGCCAATACATATCAGTTATAACTATCAAGGTAAATGGCCTCAATTCACCAATCAGAAGAAGCAGACTGGCAGAGTGGATCAAGAAACAAAATCCAGCAATATGCTATATACAAGAAACACATTTAATTCAAATGGAAATTCACAGACTGGAAGTCAAAGAGGGGAAAACAATACTCCATGTGACAGGAATCCAGAAAAAAAAACAGGGGTAGCTACTTTGCAGACATTGTGAACTTCAAACCAAGAATAATCAAAAGAGATAAAGAAGGCCACTACATACTTTTTAGGGGAAAACTGCAAGAGGGAGCGATAACAATCATACATATCTATGCACCAAATACAGGAGCACCCAACTATATAAGACAACTTTTAGCAGATATGAAAAATCAAATAAGCAATAACACAACTGTAATGGAGAACTTTAGCACCTATTTTCACAAAGAGATAGATCAACTACACAAAAAAAAAAAAAAAAAAATTGGCAAAGAAATAACAGAACTAAAACAAACCTGGGAAGAAAGAAACGGATTTAGGGGCTGGGGATTTAGCTCAGCGGCACAGCGCCTGCCTGGCAAGCGTGTGATCATGAGTTCAATTCCCAGTAGTGGAAACCCCCACACACAAAAAAAAGAAAGAAATGGATTTAGTAGAGCTTTACAGAGTATTCCACTCAATAACATCAGAATACACATTCTTCTCAGTTGCACACAGGATGTTCTCCAAAATAGACCATACACAGAACATACTTAAGCAAATGCAAAGGAATTGAAATTATCCCATGCATACTATTTGACCATAGTGCAATGAAATTTGAAATTACTGACAAAAGGAATTGCAAAAACTCCATAAACACATGGAAATTAAATAACACCCTCCTGAACAACCAATGGGTCACAGAAGAAATTAAACAATATTTACAATCAAATGAAAATGCAGATACAACTTACCAGAAACTGTGGGAAGCAATGAAAGCAGTCCAAGAGGGAAATTTATAGCACTGAATTCTCATATCAGGGAAACAGAACAAGTGCAAATAAACAACCTTATGTCACCTCAAGCTTTTAGAAAAAGAACAGCAAGTCAAAAAGCTCAAAGAAGGCAGGAAATTATAAAGATCAGAGCAGAAATTAACACAGTGGAGACTAAGAAAACAATACAAAGAATTAATGAATTGAAAAGTTGGTTCTTTGAAAGAATATATAAAATTGATAAGCCCCTAGTCAACCTTATCAAAAAGGAAAGAAAAAATTCAAATTCATACAATAAGAATTGAAAAGGGGGAAACCACTACAGATCCTATAGAAATTCAGAAGAACATCCATACTTACTTCAAAAATCTTTACTCTCACAGGATAGAAAACACAGAAGAAATGGACAGATTCCTAGATACATATGAATTACCAAAGCTGAATCAAGAAGATATAAAAATTCTGAATAACCCAATATCAGTCAGTGAAAT